CAGGTGGGTGTGGGTTCCATCCTTCATTGCGAACTCGTGAGCCAACCAACCCATCCTGTGACCTCCGAGGCTTTCATCAGTCAGGCCACTGTGAACTTAAATTTCACGTCCACATCGCAAAAGACGGGTCCAGCCATTTCCTCATTTCCGGCCACATCTCGTGGTGAAACATGTGTGTTCGTCTTTCCGCGGGTCCGGCGCCCTAACGTCACTGCTGGTCACCCTCCCACTGCGAAGAAAACATGAAAAAAACATCTTCCGGAGAACACCAAGGTTTCAACTCCTCTGATTGTGATGGGCGGTAACCAGAGGTGCGATTGTGATGGGGACCCGTGCGGCTCGACGGTTTAACCGTTGGTGTTCTGACAATTCCGAGAAAGCGACAGAGTTCGAGAGACTCCAAGCGGCGCAAGTGACAGGTAGGGCCTACAGCTCGCTGGACTAGTCTACTCCAACTGGCTGTAGACTGGACTACCCGACTCCCCTGGAGTCGGTAGAGAGAGCGCCAGGGACTGGAACCAAGCTCCAAACGCGAACCGAACCATGTCTTTCCTCTAAAAAGGTGCAGTTGACTATTCAAAAGGCTCCTACCTACCGATCTCCAAATACCCTCGCCCTGGACATCCGTTCGACCAATCAAAAGCCAATGGGCTAGGGCAAAAATCCTTAGTAAAACAGCTGGTGTTCCAACAACCGGGATTCCAACCATGAAAGCTTTCATGATGAACCACCGGAAGCCTCCCACAGTCTGTGCCACCGGGGCCGAACGAAGCACCTACCTTTTCAGGGGGTCAAGGCAGACGGCTTTGACCCCGGGCTCATCCTGGTTAGACCTGACGAATCTCTCAAAATGGGGTACTGCGCGAGAGGTAGGAATGCAGACCGCGGGGTGAATCCCGGGGTGCCATGACCCACAGACATAATATACAGCAGGACCTTCCAACAGGTGGCTTTAGAAGCCTAACAGGTGGTGAACCTGGGCACCTGTTGTCACCAGGAAACACCTGTTGGAGGGTCCAGGCAATTGGGTCGGGTGTCAGGAAAACGGGAGCAGAACGGTTCTGCGGGATTGAGGTCTTGTTGCCAGCTGAGAGGGCTTGACTGATTTCCGAGACCTTGGAATGCCCACTGGGATCTGGAGCTTGCTGTCGGGAGTGCCCACTGCGATCTGGAACTGCGAGAAGAAACAATGGGCAGCGCCACCATGTGGAGTGGAGAAATGCATGCGAGGTGGCCGTACTTGTGCGAGGTTTCCAGGATGGACCAGCCTTCATGACCGAGCTCTTTGGGGGAAGAACTTCTTCCAGCGTTTTTCCCGCACCAAGGCTCGAAGCTATTGCCCCAGGTGGGCTGGGCATTGTGGTCCTGGCAACTCCGGACAACGGGGGACATCGGAGATGTGGAGGAAATCATCGGGGACGGAGGTCCAGGGCATCGACTCGTCCTTTGGACCGACCGGCTGAAGGGTGTTTTTGCAGGAAACTCTTAGAAGTCGATCGGGTCACAGGTCACACGAAGAAGTCGAGTCTAGACTGGACACTCTTAGGGGAAGCTCTGGACACTCTTCATGGATCAACTCTGTCTGAATTTCTATCAAACCTCTCTTCAGATCCTTGGCCGAGGATGGTGACAGGCCTTCGTGCCTGACCCGTTTGAAGACCCGTTTTGCCTGATCAAGTGGATTGGCCTTCCGGCACTACCAACGCCACTAAGTCCGAATGGCCACTCCTATGGTCCGTAATGCTACTACTACTTGTGGGGTGTCGATTCCCCCTCCTACTTCCTTTTCAGGTCCTGTTGCTTCGCATTTTTTGGGGCGGAGCCTTTAGGGATCCTGATCGAGTCCGGATCGACTCGTTTCAAAAGGGTCTCGCTTTTGGAACCTGAGTCCAAAAAAGTTTGGAGAATAACTGGACTTAAGTTCTATGCAGTTGTATATGTATATGATGGAAAAAAATTCCAGGTTCCGCTTCCAAAAAGAAGAAAGGTGTGTCCTGAATCAATCCGTTTCTTTCATTGACACCGTGGGATGCCAAAATGCTCCACCAGACTGCAATTATGGCGGTGTTGGTCGGGCCCGTTTGGGATGAGCAGCTGGGAAGACCTTAGTGTTAGGTCCTCCCTGAAACAAGAATATGGAAGTGGATGGCCCCCGCGGTTAAGACCATGAAATCCTCTACAAACAAGTCCACGACACCATGCCTGTAGGAAGGCAGAGTCGATCATGAAGGAGCCGATTCCCTTTTTAGACATACCTCAAACAGTGACTCAAACCTATGGCCTGGCAACAACAGCTCGCCACTTTGTAGACAAAACATGAACCCTAGAAGTCCAGTTCGATGATTTTTGGGACTACCGAAGTAAAGAAATGCTAGACTCGGATCACCTAGTCAGACAATTTAAAGAAATGGTCTTGGACAAAAGGTGAATCTATGTTCACCCAGCCGGTCTCACCAAAAACATCCCGGCGGCTCTCTTTCCGCTCATGTAGTCGTGCAAGTTTCAAGATCCAGGATATTGGGTTGCATGCAAAAAAGGGTTTTCGCCTACGCGAAGTCACGATTTTTGTTGTTGTCTGATCAAGAATTATCTGAAAATCGATGTCAAAAATGGTGACCATTTTTGACATCGAATTGCGAAAACACAGGGTTTCGGACAATTTTTTGCCAATGTCAGATCAGAGACACAGAAGAGACCAAGCGTAGCGTAAGTGTAGAAAGTGCATTCACAAGAACGTTAATAGCCCCACCCGAACCCAAACCGAATCCCCGGCCAACGTCAGATCAGAGACACAGCAGAGACCAAGCGTAGCGTAAGTGTAGAAAGTACATTCACAAGAACGTTAATAGGCCCCACCCGAACCCAAACCGAATCCCTGGCCAACGTCAGATCAGAGACACAGCAGATACCAAGCGTACCGTAAATGTGAAATGTACATTCACAAGAACGTTAATAGGCCCCACCCGAACCCAAACCCAACCCCCTGGCCAACGTAAGATCAGAGAATAGGCCCCAACCAAACCCAAACCACTACTAGGGCTGTTTCAGAGCCGATAGCAAAAACATGGCCCAGCTTGCCACGCAAAGACTTTGAGTTCGAGTGACTCTAAACCAGACTCTAAACCCAGTCAAGCTGGATCTTCGAAACTATGCAAACATTATGCCTCTTGGTATCTCTTAATTCATAAAACCAGCCAGGCTCGGCAGAAAAACTGTAGAAGATCCAGCTCTGCCGCGGCGCCGCCCGCACCGCCCGCACCGCGGCCTGAAGATCGCAGGCTTTCGTGAGGGTATTGTAGACGTAGCTGTCTAGGCAGAGCAAGGGGTCACACGCGACGCGGCCACGAGTTTCAGCGATTCTGAACTCATCAACGTACCAGGCTTCAGGCTTCAGCTGGTAGCTAAAGCCATGGCCCTGGAAATCCCATGTGGTGCCATTTCGACCAAACAGTGGAGCTGCATCGACCTTCACAACCTCGAACTGTCAAGAACCGTGACGCTTGTGACCCCAAACGAGGACCACGTGACTCGTCCAAACCTTCCTGGATGGAGGGTCACTGACTGAAAATCACTGCTGGCGGGTGACTTATGTCTGATCATTTGATCTGTGAAGCGTGATCATCAGGTTGGAAGTGAACTTATGTGTGCGACAGAGGATTTCTGGGATGGGAGGTTGCTTTCGAGAATTGCCCTGGATTATGGTATGTTTGGTATCCGACAGCACCTAAAAACAGCTGATGGCGCCACAACCATCGTGGTGAGTCGTTCTTCGCTCCAAAGTCTGCGAATGAAAACCAACGCGTGGCCGCGTGAAGTCTCAAAAGCTCACGGAATTGGGGAAAGGCCCGAATTGGGTGAGTGACCAATCAATCGGTCCACGAAAGGGGATCAACCAAAAAAAAAGCCGGTCACCAGCGGTTTGATGCGTCGTCCCTAAGGATGTCTTCGGGCGTCCAAGTGCGAAAGAACCGGTGGCACCGCGAAGTTCATTGGGAACGACTTGGTTAAGTTAGTAGTAGCGTCCTTGTTACTACTAGTAAGGCACTTGTTACTAGAAGCGATGCACTCGTTCCTATTTGTTCCCAATAGGGAACGACTTGCTTCGCATCGTCTTGTACTAAGGATGGTTTCCACGACAAAACCAGGTCGTTCCCATGTGTCTGGTCCTTCCCGGACCTTCGAAAGATCCGAACCTGTCTTGCTGTCACCGTGGAACCTTCGATCTCAATGGTCCGAGATCAACGCCCAACGGGATTGGAGTGGCCAACGCCCAACACCCAATGTAAACCCACAAAAAGAACCACCAAAGCGGGTCTTTCACCAGCTGCTTGCAGTGAGGGGACGTCACAGGCCGTCACAGGCGGCTGGTCACGGGCGTCTGGTTCCGGTTCCGCATTTCTTCAGTATGACTTCTCTCTGTGCACTTTGGCTTGGAACTGGTGACCAGTGCGGTGACCGGTCGGTTCACCAACTGACTGAGCTCGGCTTCGAAGAGCCCACCGAATACTTGGAAGGTCCTGGTATGGAAACCCAGTTCCATCCATGTGAGGTTTTGGATCTGGAGGTGAGACATTGCCGCCTGGGGTGGAGAAGGTCGAGCTGGTCGACTGACTCGACTGACTTCCTCCCTCCCCGCCTGGCAGGTCCGGAGGGAGTCCCATGGTCCGGACACACCCCAGCTGGGAGAGGGGAACCCCAGTTCCGAGGTTCAATGCAGGCTTTGAGGGTCCAATAACCTGAGGGTCGGTATGTGGATATATGTGGATCCATATACCAGGACCTTCCAAGAATTCTGTGGGCTTTTCGAAGCCGAGCTCCGATCCGGCGCTGCACCGATCCGCTCGCACGACCAAAACCGCCAATTCGGGTTCACAGCGGAAGTTCAACAACACACCGAAGGTCCCGTTCAGGTCGCGTCCCGGTCGGGTCCACGTCATGCAACTTCCTCCAAGGATCGACAAAAGGACGAGCTCTGGCATTCCTTCTGACATGCAAGGCCGTCATCTTTGTAGCTGCTCGTCCTGGCGGTTCCCCGGAGATGGAGAAAGACCAGACATGAAAACGCCCGGGTGCGAAGGGATGGCTATCTAGCGAACAGCTCAGCTGGAAAGCCCCATGTTGCTGTGGTCCTGAAGGTGGTGAAAAGTCTGAAAGGTTTTTGGCACAACCAGTGCAACCAATGTCCAAGCCGAAAACAGGTGGGGAAGACATTCCCAACTGGGCCTGTGGTAAGCCCACGTGCTAAAGCTCCTCCAGTGACGGGGCGTGTAGACTGTGAAAGCCACGCCTAAACGAGGAAGAGGGAGATGCACCTATCAGTACATGCTTCTTTTGTCCACGTGCTTCATGGTTGGTCCAGTTGACATCGATCTCCTGGATACGTTCCCTGCATAATGAAAGATACATCACGAATCAGTTTTGGAAGTGATTGCCCAGACTTGACTCGGACCCAAAGATGGAGGGGGTCAAACCGGTGAGGCCGTCAAATCTTTCGAGGGGTTGTGAAGCCAACGGCCTGTGGGTTGTTGTTCAACCGTGTCGACAGCGGCCTCGACCCCATCGAGTTCGGCACCACCGGACCCGCCATCCACTCAGTCGACTCGGACGACTCGGGCTCGGTGAGGCGGGTGGGACCTGGGAGCCTTGGGAAACTGAATGAACAACTCCAAGCATCGGTTTGACCGTGCATTTCCCATATCATCCCATATCCTCCCGCGCTTGGGGAGACGAGTTCCGACGCGCCCGCGCCCGCGGCCGCGCTGCTTTCGTGCCTCCCGGAAGGGTTCAAAGGTGTGAAGGTTAAGCCTGGAACACCACCTGAGGCTTTTTCAGAACACGGGCAGATACGGGCAGGGCAGGCCTTCTGTCTTCTCCCGGGTATCTTTATTGAGCGCTGGGTGGGCTCGGCTACCATGCAGACCCTTTCGGGCGAAGCAGACCCTCTCAATCATGGGGAAACCATGAAAAGTATAAGACCAGACATGCCACGAGTGGAAAAGGCTTTACATATATATATACAGTACCCCTTTGGGTGGGAGGGACGATCTTGAGGCGTGCACGAGGCGTGTTCGGCACACCGAGCCACCGCCAGACGCCATCGCTGCCGCCCACCGGTGATCGGGATACCTTCCACAGTTCCTGACATAGCAACCACCCCATGCAGAAGAAGGAATCACCCACAAGAGCGAGGACTAAGTGACTTGCTATTCTGTTGGTCAATCATTCACCATGTCGACACCCCCCTGTCTAACGACCCCAGGTCAGTCGCAAACGACCCAGGTCGAGCACATCATGGGTGACCAAGTCGGTCGAACAAATTCCTCATCACGGAGCACCCAGCACCTAGCAGTTCCAATGGGTGTCCAACGGAGACCTCTCACCAAAATGTGTAGGGCCTTCCGGGCAGTCCGAGCCCCGAAGGGTCCAGCGCCCGAAGCCAAGTCTGGCCCAGCCCAGGCGTCGAACTGGCCCAAGCGGCAATGCTGCGTGTCGAACTCGTCCTCGACAGACTCCTCCGCTGCCGGGTCACGCGTCGAAGGCTCACGGGGGGCCGCTCTTTCGCGGTCGAAGCGCCCCATGTCCAGCCTGTTTCAGCCTGTTTCACCATGTCCAAGGGCATCCATTCTGTTCGTGTTCTGTTTGTTTTAAGAAGGTGTTTTGGGTTAAAAGGCCCCAGGGCGCCATTTGCGGCTCAACAATTCGGGTGACGTCGTCCATAAGAGATCTCACAAAGCATAGCCTGCATCATCGAACGAATGTAGCAGACATGTTTTCTCCCAGTTTTTCACAATCTTGCTGAAGGGGTGACAAGGCGGTGATCTTTGTGGAAAGCTTTTTGAAGCAAAAGGGCCCAGTTGCTTTGGGTGGATCCCCCAAACTCGCCAGGATGGCGCAGTCGATTCAGGGAATCCCTTCTCTTCGATGTTTTTGTGGCTCTTGGCTGAGCAGTCTTGGCTGAGCTGTTCCTCAAGACCGCTTGCAGCTTCGTGCGATCAGACCATCTCTCTGAGGTATCCCAAAGCATGAAACGTCCATAGACTTTCGCATGACACGAAGAACGGATCACACCGTCGAGCAGACACACCGTTCGCTTGATTCCCCCCCTAGCAACCCCATGGATCAGCGACCAAACCTCCCAAGATATCGACCCAAACCGATGGATGAGGGCACCCGCGTTGGAGGAGTGGATCGGAACCACCCCACCCCACGGCTCTGTGGGTTCCGGCAGCTCGTCGGACCCCCCACCAATGGCGCCTTCTTGATCCCCACCATGGCGGATGCCTAGTCGAGTCACCCAACTCGTCACGTCATCGGGCCACGGAGGGAAGAGGCGAAGGGAAGACATCGGGCCACGGACGTGGGGGACCGGTGTACGCGTGCGGCGGCGTACGCGTCCAGCGGCGCGTTTGGCGTCTGGCACCCCTGAATTCTGGGGGGGTCAGGCTGGTTGGGGAGAGCCCCTAGTAGCGTCCTTGCTCCTAGTAGCGATGCCAGGAGCCCC